CAGCTTCCTACCACCTAACCCCACCTGTTCCCAGTATCCTATCACCTCCTACAGCCCCGGGATTTTGCAGAACCAATTATCTCTCCCTTTCTCTTCTCTACTCAGCCTCTTCCCTCACCTGGCTCTTGCTATCACCATTTAAGGATGATTAAATATGTGCTTTTAAAAGTCGTCCCCTGTCCTCATGTCCCTGCCTGGCTGAGAGGTTACTTCTTTTATATCTAGTTCTTCACCTTACACGTATCCCCCACCCATAACCATTTTGTTTCTTCCCCCAACACCACCCTAAAACTGCTCTGATAAATGCTGTTTGGTATGGGTTGAACTGTGTCCCCCAGAAAGATATACTGAAATATTAACCACAGGTACCTGTGGATGTGACCTTATTTGGAAATAGCACCTCTGCAGATGAAATAAGATGAGGTCATACTGGACTCAAGTTAGACCTAAATCCAATATGACTCGTGCCCTTATAAAAAGAGGAGAAGACAAAAAGATACAGACACCCAGGGAGGACGCCATGGACAGCAGGCTGAGAGATTCCAGTGCTGCATCTACACGCCAAGGAATGCCAAGGACTGAGGATAACCACAAGAGTCTAGGAAAAAGCAAAGAATGACTCTTCCCTAGAGCCCTTAGGGAGAGCCTGGCCCTGCCCACACCTTGGTTTTGGACTTCTGGCCTCCAGAACAGTGAGAGAAGACATTTATGTTGCTCCAAGCTACCCAGTGTGTGGTCATTTGATCCAGCAGCACCAAGATGCTGATACCTCACGGATGACAGAACTTCTGGGCAGGTGACCAACTGTCCTGGTTTTCCAAGACCATAGGACTTTCAGGGCTAAAGCCAGGAAAGTCCCAAGCACACCAGGACAAGTCTGTCACTCCACCTCCTGGCCCACACCTATGCTGAACACTCCACATCATCAGATACTTAGAAGGCCCCCTCCTCCTTGAGAATCTCCCCTTTCTTGGCTGCCATGAAGCCTTCCTCTCAACTAGATAATTCCATCCGATGGCTCCCAAGAACTCAGCCTTTTCAACTGAAAATCATCACATCTTTCACATCTGCTTTCTCTTTCTGACTCTAGATGGAATCAACATCCAAGAACATAGGGAAGCACTCAGCGATTCCTCCTCCTCCCTGCTCTATGCCCATGAAATCATCAACAACCCCCTTCGAATTTCTAGAACCCACCCACTTCCCCACATTTCTGCTCCCCCCACCCTACTTAAGTCCCTCCATCCTCCTCCCTCGGACCACAGTAGCAGCCTCGGAATGGGCTCTCCCTGCAGCATTTTCCATCCTCCAGATAGAGGGAGAAATTGAGATGCCTTCCAATGCCGCACATTCCTGAGACCCCACCAGCCACTAACACGTAGGACTCATCCCCTCCACCTCCTCCTCCGTAACCGAAAGTAAGATGTCCCAGGCCTCATTGCGTCTGATGCTTACCAGTACCTGTGATGTTCTTTCCCTCACCTCAGGGCTTATCAGTTACTCTTTTCCTCTCCCAGGAACGCCTCTCCCTTCATGAGTTTCCTAAACACCTTCTAACAAACATTTGGGACTCACCTCTGACATGGCCTCACCCTAGGAACGTTCCTGAACCAACGTCCTACAGCCCAGGAGTCTGCCTAGAGCCTCTCTCCTGGGCTCCACGGCACCCAACACAGACACCATTAGGGCCCTTGGCAGAACGTAGTGCAATGGCCCTTCTGGTTCATACCCCTAAAAACAGTCTAAACCCCTTTAACAGGGACTATGCTTTTTGCCTTAATCACCTCAACATTTAGTGCAGACCCTGTATGTAATAGGCTCCTATTAATTGTTCATTGACTGTTCACTCAAAATTTGAACATACAAATTAAAAATACACTGAGATACCATTTATGAACTATGAGTTTGTTCCAGACCCCAAAGCCTGATGGCCCACTCTGTAGGAATGGCTGCAGGGAAGCAGATACTTACACTGGGCATAATGAGAATGCAAAATGGTGCAACATTCATGAAAGGGAATTGGACAACATGTAGCAAAACCACATATGCATTTGCCCTTGGACCCAGAAGCCCCAATTCTAGGAGTCTCTTCCAGTGGTACCCTTGCAAAAATATGAAATGATGTTTGCCGGAGGCACTACTCATTGAAACACTATCCGTGATCACAAATGCCATAAAATAACCTAAGCATCCCTCGATAGGGAATTGTTGCATACACTAGGGTTCATCACATGGTGCGGTGCAGGAGGCTAAAAAAAACGAATGACATAAATCTCACTATTTTTCCACAGAGGAGGCTCCAGAATATATTATTATGCTACAAGGCAATACATAGAGGCAAGTTTATATGTATATGCGCCACCTTTATCTTAGAAAGGAGAGTATGGATATATATTTGCATATATATGTATGTGTATTACTTTGTTTACATTACAAAAGCAGCCTAAACCACGAAATAGAAGTAAATGGTTAGCTGAGTACAGAGAGAGAGGGAACGTGGTAAAGAAAACAGGGAGCAAAGCTACATTCCTCTGAACACCCCTTCTTTCAATAACTTGACTTCATAATAACTTTGCATAAATTTTAAGAATCTCTAAAAATCAAAAGCAAAATTAAACAAATAAAATTAACTGAGTTTTGGGTCGGTGCCATAACCACACAGAAGGAAATTATTTCAAGTGATTTTAAAGCAGTAATTTTGCTTGAATCCCCCAGTAAAATATATACCCTGAGGACCAAAAGAAGAGAAAAAACATAACCTGAAAGGGGTTTTCAATAATCAAAAACAACTAAGCCTACACAGAACTGTTATTCTGAAACAGCTGAGTGTGCACTGCAAGAAAAGGCAGAAGAATGATGAGATCGACCCACAGAGACACAGGACTCTTCGCAGGGGAGAAATGGAGGAGAAACAGGCAGAGACAGAAGATGGGAGAGGAAAAGACCCTGGAGTCCTGCAGATGACTTGGAAGTTATGGTGTATTTTATTTTTTAAATTTTTTTCTTAGCACTGTCTATTAAAAAGACCTAACTGTGAACACCTCCGGTGCTCACAGCAGCCAGACATGGGTGATTCCCAGGTCCAAGGAAGGAAGTGGGCGAAAGGAATAGGAACATCCTGCTAACCCAGAGAGTACAGAAGCTCTCAGTGGTGCCTTGGGTGGTGTCAGAACTCAGGAGCAAACCTCAAGAGGCTCCCCTGGGCTTGAAATGGCACAGTGTCACCATCTAGAAGGACAAAAGCTACATGGATTAAAATACATCAAATATGTTGAAATTCATGTATTACTAATGATTCTAATAATCAAAAGCAATGAAAAAGCAAACATAATATTAATATCCTATTCATTCCCTTTGGCTGACCCATGGATGACCAGCTGGAAGTTAGAGAACCATTTTATTAATCTCTTTAAAAAAAAATCTGGTTGTAGGGAAAGGAAAGCATTTATTTTGCCTTTCCTATATAAGCTGTACTTCCAGGATATCCAAATAGTTGATGAAGGAAAGTTAGTTTATATAAGTGTATTTCAACCATTAAATGAAGAAAACAAAATTAGAAAATCCCAGTTTTGCACCCATGAGTCAATCAGTAGATTTAGGCAGCGATCACCAATGAAAACTGATAATCTCCCATCTGGACATTCTTTGCCTCCCGACGGAAGTAGGCAGCATCAGCCATGACACAGTCAGGATAAAACTATTTGAACCTGAATCTAATCAGCCCTCTTGATGTCACTAGGAATTCACAGGGACACATGGGAAAGAGGAACATTTGGGCCACACAAACAGGATGCAATGACAAAATCCAGACTGTGGAAAACTCTACAGGACCAGGAGCTTAGTTTCTACAAAAATTAGTTTGCAAAGAGAACAACAACAAAAACAATAAAAGATTAAGAGACGCAAAAAATATGCCAGCCAACTGCAATGTTTCAACTTCATTTTGATCCTGATTGGATCTAACTGTTAACAAAAAAAAAAAAAAATGCCTAAGTAGTCATGAGACCATCGATGATCTCTGAATACTCAGCGGATGTTTGATGATTGTATGAAATCATTCCTTTGTTTGGGATTTTGTTTATTGTGATAATGGTATTGTGAATTCCTTATCTTTGAGAGTTATAAACCCACATGTGATAAAATAATATGATTTCTTAAATTTGCTTCAAAATAATTTGTTGGTGGTGTCATGGAGTGCGGGTGGGGATTTAAATGAAAACCTGATGGGCCATGAATTGATAAATGTGGCGCTGGTTGTTCCTTAGACTATTCTTTCAATCTTCGCATGTATTTGAGTGTCTTTATGATACAAAGTTTAAAAATAACAAAATAGAAAACTATTTGTTGCATGAATGACTAGAATAGAATGTCTGATTAATCATATTTAGGCTGATAACATAACTGTAAGCTCCCTGAAGATGGAAAAACAACTACTTATTTCCCCCTCTAAATGCTCCTAGCACCTGGGATGTGAAGGACCTCAGCTAAAGACATTTCCATGAATGAAAGAATAAATGAGTGGACATACAGATGAATTAACTAATCCTACTGCTGCGTGGAAATACTTGAGACATTCAATCAATTCTGCCACTATACAATGGTGGAGAGACAAAGGTCTAAGTTTCATGGCACGACTGAGGCTTTGAAGGAAAATGCCGAACTGAAGAACTTTTTGTTTTACTTGGTTTTCTTGTTATTTATGTGGGTCACATTTTTATGCCCTGGTACAAATGCACAGGAGATCTGCAGCCCCTGTTAAATAAAGATGGTCTCAAATAATGGGATTCTCCACCAGTGGCCATCCCCATCTTAGATCCTTCTTGAGGCAGTGATCCACTTCTGGATATGAAATTCTTATGACAGAGGATTTTATAGTTTTGCCTTTATTTTAAACAATGTCTAAAAGAAGCGTCACAGAATACTAGAGCAACAGCTACTGGATTACCCTCTATCACTATACAGCATGTGCTATTAAACGATCAGAGGATGCCTCTCCTTACCTTTATAGGAAATGACTGGGTGCTCAGCTGTCTGACACTGAGTCGTGCCCTGTGTCTCCGGGTGGGCGAGTCTCCACAGCCCCAGGCTTGAGAGCAGCCACGCAAGGACGCAGGTCCCCTTCATGGCAGGCAGGGGGCCTCCGACTCTGGGCACTCGTCTTCTAAACAGAAGCTCGTCTTCCCCTCATGTGTGGAAAGTGCCTACAACACACAAAAAGAGAGCAACTGGGTGACCATGAGTGCAGGCCCTCTGGCGGGTGGGTCTTTTGGGAACACTCCATCACTGACTTTGTGGGGACAAATGAGAACTTAGACCAACATCCTTTTCTAGGTAATATTTCTGTGTGTGTGTGTGTGTATGTGCATGCATGTCTCAATACAGACCTTTCTTTCTGCCAATAATTTTATGAGACAGCCTATTTAGTATAAAAGGAGAAGTGTTCAAGTTTAAGCTCCACCGAGTCATCACAGTCACTCCTAAAAATTGCAGATTAATAGTTGTGATCATCTATTGGTTTCTCCTTGGACAATTCTCCTACCCCCTTGTGAAAACACAAATCTATATATGGAAAACCTACAGATCCCTGCTCATCCCTTTTTGATACCCAGAGACCTATTTTTAATAAGGCTACAACCATTGTCTTTTACTAATAACCTGATTAATAATATGTTACCCAACTCTTAAAAATCATACACATTTGGAAAATTTAACCTTGTTAAATTTGTTAAATTTATAGATGATCTGCCAGCAAAATTTCTGGCTAGAGATCAAATGCGAATCAAATAAAATCTATATTG